GTTAGTTGAGAGATCGATAAATGGTTTAACATTATCTTTTATTAAACGCTTCCAATTAATTCAAAACAAAGTTCTTCCCATTTTTGTTTAGATTTAGGAAATGTTATTATGCATCATGTCAACATCATAGTTCTCCATGTTATAATTGGCTCATGGTAAAAGCCTAATTTTTTCATATAATTATTTCGACTGTGCTACTTGCACAGGCTCTTTTGCACAGAGCCTAGACAGGTGCACACACATGGTGGTGGACCCCACACATAGGGTCCACCCCCATGTGAGAGCCCATGTATAGGCCCTGTGCAAGAGGCTTTTTCCTAATTATTTTGATAGTGCAGTATATGTAAAATTTATCAACCACACTACACTAAGATGGAAAGTAAAGAATGTTGAGGATAAATTAATACTTTGAATACTTATATAATATCTCAAGTCCTAATGGGTGATATTTCATAAAGCGATTTGTTAATTGTCAATTTTGATTGGACAATTCTTTCAGCATTAGGAAGAAGAATTAATAAGCTGAAAATGATGTTTAAGTGCATAGTTATCTAAATCTTCGCAAAAGATAATTTGAATTAAAAGTTTGAAAGATAATTCAATTACATGCATTTACTGATTAAAGAGATCAACAATATCACACACGTCGGCTTTAAATGCTCCAACTTGAATTAGCTCTTGGAAGGATAATTAATTAATATTATATTTGATATATTTATTACACGTCTGAAGCGTGCTGATTTCGATTCTAATACAAAAAAACTACTAACGAAAATGGAGCAATTAGCAAAGATAGTCTCGTTAAGGAGGCGTATACTCTTGATAAGTATATAGACATAACAAATTTTAAAATCGAAGAAGAAGTTTAAGTACCTAATATATTAAAAATTGAGATATCTCAATAAATTATGTCATTATGGAAAAAGAAATAGAATTGAAAAGAAAAAAATTGTCAAAAATACTTTTGCATGTGATGTACTACATTATATTTTGAATAGCAAAGATATTGAAATAGATGTCTTTGATCGAAGTGATGATTGTCCAAATAAATTGGACGCGATCCTAATAAAGTTGAACTTAGTAGAGAAAACTGAAATTTTTGAATTTATATTTGAACACCTAAAAGTATATACTTATGCGAAATGAAAATGAAAAAAAGTAAAGTAATAATATGAAATGTACAACTCTTTACATAATAAATGTTATGAAGACTTGTATAAATAGATAATTTATCATGTGGTTGATGTAATTATAAGTCTACCGTATTAGCGTGACAATGCATGAAATTTGATATACATACAATAATTGTAATCATAGTCAACTTATCTTACATAAATTTAATATTAATATTAAAGGATTTAATATGTCTGAAGCACAATTCAAGTGATATTATCATAAGGATGAGTAAATACGCGTTGTATTCTTTTTCCTTGACTAAGATTTTATTTCATTGAATTTTTCTGGCAAAATTTTTAACAAGACAACTTTTATAGATTACTCAAAAGAATAATGTATTCTTTTTTCCCTTCATTAGGATTTTCCCACATATTTTTTTCTAATAAAGTTTTAATGAGGCATATTCTTTATGTAATGATGTTCTTAACCCACGAGGCATTTACCCTCAAAAGGTACACTTCTATATGTATGAGACTGTCAAATAGATCAACAAGAGTTATTTTCTGAATCATCATATTACCACAGTTATCAAATGTTGACAAAATATCTCTTATGAAGATAGTGTTATTTGAAGGTATTCACGTAAAAGGTATCAATATTGAAGACATTGCCGTACAAGACATGGATCGTTTAATACAAGAATTAAAATCAGAGAGAGTAATTGTACTCTTTTTCCTTCTATCAAGTTTTGTTTCATTGGATTTTTTTGACAAGGTTTTAATAATGCAACATTTATTACTTCATATCATTTGTACTCTTTTTTCATTTGTTGACATTTTAACAATTTTTTTTGTCAAACAATATTTCAATGAGATGATTATTGTATAAACGGTCATTCAAAGAGGAGTATTGTAAATATTGTAATTTTATGAATGACATTTATACATCTACAATCCTAGTCATTATAATTGTTGTATTCCCAGTAATCCTAATTATTCTCTGTAAATATGAGGTTTTGATTCTTAATAAAATACACAAGTGTATTAACTCAAATTATCTCTCCTCTTTTTCTCTCTTGTTTAGAACAATCATACATTATATTTATGTTAAATGCAATTATAAAAATATAATATAAAGTAAGATTATAGCTACAGATTATAACTACAAATACCAAACGGTGTTACCTAAATTCACACACTACGCTAACAACTTTTCTTGAGTTTGAGAATCATCCTCGAGTTGTGCATCGGAGGTAGGAACTAGAGCAATTCTGTTCATTAACCTGCACACCAAATCACAACCTTTTACTCGTCTTAGCTAAAAGTTTAAGTTGTCGTGAGTCATATACATTTATATTTTGTTTTTAAATGAGAACCATAGAAATTTAGGAGGGCAAGGGTCAAAATCCTATTAAGCCCCCGTTTGGTGTAACTTAACAATTAATTTTAACGGAAATTATAACTTTTCAACCATATATCAACTTTTATCAAAATTTACCGAAAATCTGATTCTTATCTAAACCAAACAGAGGCTAAGTATATGAGAATGCACCTGTCTCGTCGTTTGTTAAAAAAAAGCTCTAGAGAACGCTTTGTAGCAATTGGAAGATCTGAAAGAAGGCAAAGAAAGTAAGGATAACTTGAATCTGTATATTAAAAAATATTAGACAAATAATTTTTTTCAACTTCCTTTTAAGAATATATGACAATCTACTAGTAATTTTTAAGAATTACGAGTCAGTTACATGAATTCTTTCTCAAAATTCTATTCAATCTATCCGAATTACTTAAAGTTGTAGTGTGCAGATTGAAAAATTGAGAATTACTTGGTTGTAACTTGCAAACTGGTGATTTCTGTGAAATTTTTGATGCATCTTCCACAACTGGAGCTGACACAGAATTTTCACCTGCCAGAAGCATAATAGCCTTTGCCTGTTGATCCAATAAAAATTTAATTGAACTCATAATCTCAATCTAGCATCATTCAAGAAACCCTAAATTTATTTGTTCCAATAATCAAATTATTTTTGCAAATAGATTTTTTTATACCTTATCGACAGAAACATTTTCATACACATTGATAACTCCATTATAGAAAATTGTTAGCTGTTCTCCTTCAGATTTGTCACTTGATAGAGCTGCAACAGTACCATCACCCCTATTTTTATCACAAATTCGAGGAAAAGTCAGCCCAAAAAAGGGGAAAAATCGATACAGTCCAGTAGTATACGTATATGTTAATCGTACAAGTGCAAGAACGTACTTGATCATCATAGGAAGCAACCGTTGCTTCAGCAAGGTTGGATATCGAAAACCACCACCAAATTTTGGTGGCACTAAAGGGCAAAGGCCGGGAGGAGCCTTTCTACTTTCTCCTCGTCTGGTCTTATTAGTTGATTTTTGAATACGGCGTAGAATTTTTGTAAGATGGCATTTTTGGAACGAGTCGTTGGATTCAGCCATGTTTTCAGACGAATTTACTTTCTTCGTCGTGAATTCCCATGCAGCCGTTGAGCTGCAAGACATTTTGCCTGCAAAAGACAGAAAGAATAGGGAAGCCCTTAATCAGAAAATTAAAAATAAATCTTACCATCAAACTGTGATTCGACTACGAACTTTTCCCATACAGCATCTACGTAAATTATGTACAAAAGAATACGAGAATATCATCCAGTTGCATGTATAGAGATTCAAAGAAGAATAAACAGAATTTTAAGACACTGAGAATACCACAGAAAAGTGATGATCAGAGCCAGTTGAGAATGCAGCCTGGGATAAAATACTGGGGACAATGTTTTGTCTGTTAAGAAGAGACACACAGATATTGAAAACAACGAACCAAACTTTGGGGAATCCGAAATAAATAATAATGTTTAATGTTGCACATGTTTTCCCCATGAAACATGTAGGAAATATTTAGTTTTCACCTGTCATTTTTTGAAACTGCCACCCCAACTCCCACTCCAACCAAGCGTAAATCAGACTGCATTCGAACTATAATTGTACATCACAACTCTTTTCTAGTTGTGCTGCCGGCACCCGAAATGTTTATTATTAACTTTTTCGGCGTGGACATAATTGGTTTTCAATTTTTTTAAAAACATATGTTTGTTGTTTATGCAAAGTATTAGTTTGTTTGGAAAGAACTCTATGAAGCTGCATTCTTAGGACTTGTACCATGATCGGAGTCTTTGCCTTAGATCAGCCTTGGGTCAATGAGTTCCTTGACTTGTTAATTACCACTTCGAGAAGAACCTATTTGGAAACAGTCTAATACTTGACTCAACGGCTTCTTCATCCTTGGTCGTTATTGATATGGATCAAAAGGTACTGATAGAATACATTCTTAGGTTTGAACAAAGTTGAGGTTCATCATATTGAAATTGATATGTCAAGTCAATGTTAATATAATTTGAAAATAAGTAGTCCAGATAGAATCGAACTTCCGATCAATCCTAGTAATTGGCATCATATGGATGAAGATGTGAAAAGGGTAGAAGAATGGGATCTATTATGAAACATACATTGCATTTCAGACATATGATCATTACGCTTTAACTGAGTTATTCTATTCCACCACCTCTACACATGACCATGCAGCAACCTTGTCCAGTTCACATAAATTAGAAAAATCTAGTCCATATTCGACCAATAAAATTTCAACTGCCTCTGATTGATTTGAATGTTGGCCTAAACTCAAATTAATATAAAACCCACAATTACACCGATATTAAACCATGTCTATTGCTTAGCTTAACTGGGTTGTGTTTTTTCAGAATTCTGCCACTCCTTGATTATTCCAAAATAAATACTGCGATGAACTGATTTAAAGACCGGCTCAGTTTATATTTGTAGAATGTACGACTAGTCTGTGCCATGAATAAATGTATACTTAAAATCAAGTGGCTTCTTCGATAATAAAGGATTACGCAGAAATTCATATCACATTTTATGCCTTGTCAGAAACATTATAGTAAGGCATTAAGATAGGCAGTCCAAGTAACTATGAGTTTGAAGTGCAGTTGACCAGAACTCCTTATTGGGCTGGTTTTATCTAGCAAGAAGTCATTAAAATGCATAAAGTTAAGGCTATCGGCTACACAAGTAAAGAATTCGACTGAGAGAAGAACACAGTTCGACTACAAGCACGTTCTTCTCCGCCATTGTCACTCTTTGGCAACTTCGAAACTGTCCTTTGGATCAGAAGGATCAATGTATCTCCATATGAAACCTAAACTGCTTCCCATGATATTCATAATTACAGCTGACACTGCCGGAGGTAATGCCACCATTGGTGAGGTGAAATGAGAGCTTGCTAAAACCACTCCCAAGGAGGAATTTTGCATGCCAACCTGCAATAAATGATAAAGAAGGCAATTCTACTTCAAACTTCGAAAACTCCAATACATTGGGAGCCATAAACTAGCGGAAGAAGGAAGAATCCATGAGCTTCATCAGTATTTCAAACCTCAAAGGCTTTAAAATACTCGGAATAGTGCAAATCAAGATTGTGATTAAATCAAAATGAGGAGATGATATAACTCTAAACAGATCATACTTCAACAGATATTGCACGTCGTTGTGGCTCCTTGAATCTGACCAAAGCTGCAGATAAATACCTGCAGAGTAACATCAACTCACATCTTAAATGTTCTGCCGGGAGCGTGTTTAAGACTCTAGCGTGGATATTTTGATTGAAGTTCTATACTAATGGCAAAAGCAATCAACCAAACTGTCTTGATCCTGTATGCCAAAAAAGGTTGAATATAATGTTTTACATCAACACTTCATGCTTCTAGCGGCGACTATATATTTATGCAAAAGAAGTACATTGACTAACCTCTTTTCCAATTCGAAGTATATATTCATTTGAAAATAATTGTTATTTGGCAAGCACTAAGATACACTCACCTTTTATCAAATGCTTTAGGATAAGTTATTCAAAGTCAAAAGACCTGAGACTCAAAATTATACCAATAGTACTTCATGAAGAATCAGAATGTAAACCCAAGTAACCACATGTAACAAGCAAACAAACTTCCTTCAACCTCATTCACATTGCAATAGGATATAGAAATTGCCTAGGTCCGGTTGCGGTAGATTAGCAAGTGGAAAACAATTACGGTGACTTCAAGAAAGAAACCACAGCAATAACAATTGCGGAACCAGATAAATGAAATAGCAACCAAAGAAGGCAATACAGGCATAAATGGTAAGGTTATATCCCACATCGAATGAAGATGAAATTAATTTATAACATATATAAGTACTTAGACTATTACTCTTAACGACATTGACCTTGTAAGAAGGAATTCCAAGTTTTAAGATGGTACCAAAGCCCATTAAACTCAAACGAATAATTTGATTAGTCTATAGCTCACACGAGCAATCAGATTTCAAGATCGGGGTTCCTAATGAGTAACTAGCTTAAGAGGCGTGTTAAGGTTATTATACCACATCAAATTAAGAAAAAGTTAATATGACATTTAAGGATTTGGGCTACTCCTATAACAAGTTGACCTTTTAAAATGGACCCTCAAGTCCTAGTAAGGTTGACCTTTAAAAATGGACCCTCAAGTCCTAATAATAAATTGGCACCACTGCTATTAAAATAACAATTTTTATGCAAACTGATACTTTCAAGTCAATCAGCTTTACTACAATGGTCATTTTCCCATTTACCTATTCTTTCACCTGATAAGTAAGGACGCTCTCAGGTTCAGATCACTGTTAACAGAATAGAAAGAAAATCTTACCCCACGAAGAAACCTGCAAAATGCAGCAACACCACTGAAAGTATGATAACCCCCAATTCACTGGAGAGTATTGCTTTAGCTCGAAGAAGTGGAGACAGATCAGATGATAACAAAGCCCCAAAGGCTGAAGATCTCAGGAGAAAAATATTTTCCGAGAGCACGCTGAAAATAAGCAAAAGTACAACATATTGAGATAGATGGATGGGAGAAAGATTGGAAAGGTAGGAGAAAGAGGAGGGTATAGGAGTATCCAAAATGAACCGTTTAAAATAAGCAAATTATTTTTCAATGGCTAGGACCTGCTAGCAAGCAGTGATGCAGCTAAAACAGCCAGTAATGGTGCAATAGGCGTCCCCACTTTTACAGCTTCAGGAAAGGCACTTTGCAAATATGATCCTAGCAGAATTGGAGCGACAACAACCTAAACAGATGGGGCCATGACCGTGAGAAAATGCATGGGCAGAAATACTATTGAAAAGTTTAAGATAATATTGACTGACCTGCATGGTGCTGATGGAGATTTTCACAGCATTCACAGGAACATAAGCTCCTGCTAGAATCTTGGTCAAAAGTGGAGTGAGAATCACTGCTCCAAGTGTGGTGCATACTGTCATTACTATGGACAGTGGTACATCTCCTTGAGAAATTAAGGTAACCTGTAACACTATTAATAGAAGAGAGAATGAATTGAACCTTTAACCATTCACAAGTAAAACAGCATAATTATTGTCAGGTATACCCACAAGCTAATAGGACCCGTTCTGGAAATCTGAATACTTATCAATATGATTCAAACATAATATTGAAAAGGTCATAACTGTGGAAGTGTGGACACCAAATGATTATATATATTAGCAATTAACAGCAAATGCTACCGGTAGCCACAGTATTTTCACTGAGTTGTAAACATTGTGCCATCGAAAATTATATATAAAAACTAATCATAATATGGAAGAATCGGCCAATAAAATAGAGATGATAGATAATAAATTCCTTCTTGGTTGCAGAAGTAGAAAAGAAAATTGAGATCGAAAGATGGTACAACCTCACCCATGCGACTACTTGCTTAGTGAGAACAGCTCGTCTAACCATTTATAATTAAATTGAAGGTTGAAAACCCAGGGATAACTCATTAATAAAGAGAAAAAAGATGTCCACATAGGAAAAATTCAGTTGTTTCACCAGCTTCTTTAAATTAAGTCCTGTTTCAATTAATGAAATAGTTCTGACCCTATGCACTTACACAATATTTCCATACATTATAGTAGAAGCTAAAAGGAAAGGGGGAGACTGGACACGTAAAATGTAGGGGATGAAAAGGATTGTTCTTACCACATTGGATGCTGTACCTCCTGGGCAACAAGCGAGCAATATCAAACCTACTGAAAGAGACTCCGAGAGCCCCAAAAACTTGCTAATTGTCATTCCAAATACCGGCATAATTGTGTACTGAGCAGCACAGCCAAAAAGTATCTGATGCAAGAGAATTTAAAGATGTTGTGATATTAGAACCAGATTCCAGAAGCAGAAATATCTGTGGCTTGACATTCGTGAAACAGTTGGCCTTATATCAAATTAGGCCCAATTTGAAATAATATGAACTCTTGTCCAAGTGAGTAGCAGCATTTGGTTGTGTTTCAGTTTCGGATTTAAAGAGTTTAACGTAATGTCAATGCATAATTCAAAAGCTTCGATAATGTGACTTTTGTTAGTACTGAATACTGTATGCGCGCACGAACCAACTAAGCCTTATTTCCAATATGTTTGGATTCAACTAAATAAAAAACCAGCTAATCGTATCCACGGACATAATAAGCATAGCGAGCTGAAGGCCAAACTGATCTTATTCAATTGTTCACTAAAGAAATTCCCAAGAAACGAGAGGCATGGTAATCCGTTTTATTACATATTGACGACTCCTGTAAATAATAACACACTACAAATCAGAAATCACAGATGTAACCAAACTCTGAATAACAAATGTATGTAGAGTGTACACAATGCCTTCTCTTTGGCACTGGGAACATTATGGTTCATTAGTCCCAATGAGTAAGGGAATAAACAAGAAATGCAGGAAAGTTGTCCCAAATTAAAATCGCTCAAACTCTAAAATTTGAAAACATTGATATGCTATCCATTCTAACAGGTAAGTTGAAACATCTTCTATTATTTCTTCATTGGTCCAAGAGACCTGAAACCAACATAATGACATTTGACTACATAATAAAGTACGAATAAAACATTTAAAAAAAAAAAAAAAAACCCTCAAATTGTAAGATTAACCATCAAAATAAAAAGTGGCCGGATAATAAGAAGCTGACCGCAAGAGGCCTTTGCATGAACAAATTGATCAAGTCTCTGAGCTCCAAAGTTATCCCCATTGCTAACATAATGAGTCCAAGAGTCAAGCTATAAGACGTGGGGCCCCTTTTAACAAACCAAGAAAAAGTGGATGGTCTTATGCAAGCAACCACCCCTCCAACAGTCACATAAAGGGGATACAGGCTTGCTGCAGTGGCTAACCAATTTTCCCATCTGGTTTTTTCTGGAATCGCCCCCAAGAGCTCAAATTTTTCACTAACAGAACGAAATTTGGGAAATCTTGGATTTGATATTTTCGGGGTAGTGGAAATGCTAATCTGCTTTATGGGTTTGTAGAGTGGGATTCTTGGAAGGGTTTGTTTTGGGTATGAAGTGAATGGAGAAGTGAAGCAGAGAGACAGTGACATTATGAGAAAAGATTTTGTCTATACTGGTTTTTAGATTTGTTTGAAAGCGATGTCAAGGTTCGGAGAGATCGATGAGTGGTAGTGACGATGGATCTGCTGCAGAGCAAGACAAGGCTTGGAAAATAGAAATGCAGATCGCTAAACTTGTCCCAAAGACGAACGAATAATGCCAAGAGAGATTGATATAATAAGGACGGCGTATTAAATTGGAACTGTACTAGGTGTACACAATGGAGTTTCACATAATTCATACAGAATACACTCAAACAGGTGGGTTGCAGATTTTTTGGCAATATTTAATTTAGATGAGTCCCACAATTTATGTGAGAATCTGTACAACTTCTGTGATAATTTTTCTGTAAATATGCTTTTCCCATTAAATTGAGTCTTTAATGATTTTTTGGATTTAAAAAGTTTATAAGAATTCAATTAAGAATTTTTGAAACTCTCTAAAAGTCACGATGTATTCAATTGAGACTTTAAAAGTTACGATGTATTCAATTAAAAAAATTTAGTAGTCTCTAGACTTTTATAAAATTCTTAAACAAAAAGTATTCATATAAAATCATAAAATTCGTCTCTCATTAATTACGAGATTTTGAGGGATTTTCACAATATATATATATATATATATATTTTATTTTTTTATTTTTTCAAATTTTCTTTCCTTTAACCTTTCATGGGCATGTATGATTAAAATTTATTTTGTTATTAATTATATTCTATTTATCTTTCTTTCTCTCTTTTATTTTTTGTTTCTAGTTTCTATAAAAAAAATTAAATTAGATTCTTGTAACTTTTTTTTTCTTTTTTCATTCTTTTTTTATGAAAAATATCTATTTTTTATTAAATTATAAAAATTTATATGAAATTTTCATCATTAAATTTAAGTATAATGATTTTTATTTATTTTTAAAAGTATACTATACTAATAATATTGAATCATATATATATATACGTATAATTTTGATTATTATTTATTTAATTAAGGTTTTAAATTTTTATTTTTTCAATTTTTTTATTATATGGGAAGAAGAAGAGAAGAGAAAATGGGAATTCTGGGAACTAACATCTCGTATGTGAGAATTTCACACCAAATCCACGTGAATTCTATTGCAAATAAAAATTTAGAAAAGTATTTTGAATTCCATAAAAGTCTATAAAAATTTTAAAATAAAAATTCATAGAATTCTACGAACGACTTCCACTGATTCCATACAAATTTATAAAAGATCCATGTTATATATAAAAGTTATTGCTTAAAAAAAGTCCATCAAAATTTTCAAAAGTCTCAATTGAATACACCCCCTAATACTTTACATATAATGTTCAGGGCGGATCTAGGGTGCTCCAAGGTCAAAAATTAAAGCGTAATTTTAAAATATATATATATAATATTAATAAAAATAAGTTAATACACATTTTGATACTTTGAAAAAGTTCTATAATGATATCATTATATATATTGTTAAGTGAATTTTGCTACTTGTATAATTTTACTTACCATTACGTTGACAGAAGTTGAGCTGATGGTGAGAAAATCAAATTGAACAAAGGAAGCTAGTGCAAAATTAATTCGAAAGTAATTCAAATTATATTTAATCCGTAAAGATCCTAAAGTTTTTGACGTCATATTCCATTTAAAATTTCAATAAAATGATGTAAAATATATTAAAAAATTTAACTAGTAAAAATAATAAATATTAATGAAATAATTGAAAATTTTTAAAGAAAAAACGAGTTATAAATTTCTTTCAAAATGTACGTTGACGCATATTTAACTATTTTTGATATTCGTTTGAACCATTCAATATAACTACGGTATAGTTCTTGAAACGAGCATCTAAATGGCATAACGATTTGTGGTTTGGATAGTAGACGATTATCAATGAATTTTAAACATTAGAACATTGTCGAAATTCTTGAAATATTAGTTTGGACCGACCTACTTCAATGCGTCATAACTTTTGCTATTGTTGGTTAGTTCGTACACTATTAATAAGCAAAAAATTAGGCTATGAACACTTCAAAATGATATTAAGAATGCAATATTTTGGCCCCCCAGGACTCATCCCAACTGGCAAAGGATGGAGTTCCTCAAAGTGGGCAGTTCAGAGGTCGCGGGTTCGATTTATGGGGCTCTTGGAAGGCAGGATATTTCCTGGAAGGCAGGAGTTCCTTGGAAGATAATGCGCATTCATGGGTTTGACTCGCTCGACACTTTGGCAGTTCAGTTGGGGGGCTTTTGGACCCTGGCCAGTTTGGGGCACAACCCGCGGTTTACCTGGTCTGCGTGAAAAGGGGCTGGATCGTAGACCCCAAAATTAGTCGCTGTAAGGTGGACACCTGTGTTTGAAAAAAATGCAATATTTTGATTTCATGTGACATCCCGTAATGAATGCGTTATTAAGAATGTAATATTTTGATTTCATTTGACATCCCGTAATGAATGCGTCAAAGTAGAGTGAAAACAACTATTTTCTAGGAAAAATCCAAAAATTATGTGGGGTCACTTACCCCACATGGTTCTTATCAACACCCATTATGTCAAGCCATCCGTTAACATCTTTCTGGCAAAGTAGCTGATAAGTACGTTTGACACATGTATTTAGGCCACAAAACATGCAAAATTGTTTGCAAATATGTTGGAATATGGGATAATTCTATATAAATTATGTTTTGTAGGGCAACATTGATTAATATGTGGAATTTAGGAAAAACAAAGAAAATGACTAAAATGGAAGAAAATCAAAATTCATGGATCAAATTACTAATAGTTGAAAGATGACCCCGAAAGAAGAAACAAAGATGTGAAAGAGCCGAAAACCAATTTAGCAAAAATATGAAGTATTGGAAGAAGGAAAAGTGAGAAAAAAAGGTCAAAAAATGAGAAATAGAGTGACCAGAATGCAAAGAATGAATTTTCACTTGAGCTATGCTATGGCATAATTATGTTCTCCATGTGATTGCATGGCATGACTCAGGGAGTTCCATGTCTGAATTTCATTGAATTGGGCTATAACATGCGATTGTTCTATGATATAGCATAGTACATTTTTCAGATGAAAATTTTAGCTTTACATGTTTGATATTGAAAACATGTTTTTGGATATTAAATGATTTATATAAATTTTTTTCTCCACAATTATTGTATGATGATAATTGTGTGAATGTGAGGCCTTTTTTTGGCATTTGAAAGAAGGAAAATATACTTGACATAGTGTAAATCATCATGGAGTCTGATATGAGATAAAAATATACTGCTATGGTCTATGTGAATTTTTAAGTGTTCATAAAAATTCATGCACTCTTATATGTTCACATTCGTCATAAAAATATAGTCGGGTCATATATAAAAGTATGTTTAACATTACTCAAGAGATTGTTGAATAAAATAGGATCATTGATTTCTCAAAATTCAATCGTAGTGTCAAAGTGTAGGACTGAGATTAAAAATGATTATTATATGAGAATTCGCGATTCCAGTGCATTTCTCATTCATTAAAACACATGAATTTTTATTTAGTATCATTTATATTTAGTTAGTTAAATTCTCTCATAATTGCGTAAGTAGCTTATTTTAATTATAATTTTGTCACAAACAAATTCTTGTTATTTATGCTTTAATTAATGTCGCGATAATTAAAATCGAACTAAACCAATCTTTATGAACCGATATTTGGACTCAATTCCACTTTATTACTTATTAACGAATTATACGCTTTCAATAGTTTAAATCAAAATATATTTTCGTGAACAGCGGCATTATTCAAAACGAAATTCAAGAAAGGATTAATGTGGGACCAAATCATTGCAAACCAAGGGACTTTTATAACGAGACTTGGATTATATGCACAGCAGAAAATATATGTAAATTTTTTAAGTATTAATTCTTTAAAATAAATAATATTTTATATTCGTAGGAATAATCTAATGAGCACAGATACTCATGCTAAGCATAGATGATAAGTCATAAAAATTCAATGGTCGATTTTAAACTTAATTCAAATGTTGAGGCCCACCTTACATTTATTTGCAAATGAATTATATGACATGTTATCGACCTTAACATAAAATGAGTATCGATGTTCAATAAATCATTCCTGCTTTTATTTGATCCTTGCTTGGTGTAAATTAAAATTTTAATAAAGAACGATGAAATATGTGAAAAATTTTGTATTCCATAAAATATGTGGTTAAAATTAAGTATTAACTTTAATTTGAAACTAAATTAAAATTTAATTTATGTCAAACAGTACTAAATAATCTCTTGAAAATAATTATTTTTTAATAGGGAAACATTAGCCAAGAAAGATGGACTGTCAAGTCCGGCTTACTCTAAAGAACATGACCAGAAGTTGTAATTTGTCAAAAAAAAAAATAAAAAAAAACACAAAACGAAAAGAAAAACGAAAAAAGAGAAAATGCTAAGATTTATATTTTAAAAAATTAAATATAATAATAAATATATAAATTTGAAATTCTATAAGTTCCTTTACATCACACCTCAAATTGCACCGAACGCTTTCACTTCTAAACTCATAATGAAATGGAAGGGAATAAAAAATGTTTCATATTTAACCCTTGTTTGAGCCCCTTTTTTGGCTAGAATGTATTTAGAGTCCGTTTGATTGTAAAGATAGAATTGAATTGAAAACGAATTCTAGGGAATTGAATTGTTTAGAAATTATTTTCCTGAGAATTGTAAATTATTGTGTTTAATTGGTATAATTTTCCACGTGAAAAATGTTAAAATAAAAGTGTTTTTTGTGTTCGTTTGACTATATTTTACATGAAATTTGTCAATTAAAGAGATATATTTTACTGGTATTGGGAATGAAATTTGTTTTCATTGCAAAAACAAAAAAAAAAAACAAAACAAAACAAAAAATTCAAGAAAATCTCTATCTTTTGACGTTCGTTTGACTTTATTTTACATGAAAATTGTCAATTAAAAGAAAATATTTTTTTACAATAATTTTTAGAATTGGTTTCCATTACCAAAATAAATAAATAAAATGATACAGTAGACTAGAATTTGAATTCAAATTCCTTGAAAACAAGGAAAAGTTCAATTTCCAAGAAATCTAAAAAATTCAATTTCATGGTAAATATAAGCTATCAAACACTCTTTTTTGTGGAAGTTGGAATCCAAATTCCATTTTCTAAGAAAAATTTTGTTGAATCAAACGGCGCCTTAGTACTTTATTGGGACACGTGTGATTAAAAAAATAAGAAAAATTTTCAATTTACGTGTAAAATTATTTTATAATAAAATATGTGGTAGAAATGAATTTTTAAAAAAATGAGGTCAAACTAATGGTTGAACCTCAACCTTGAGGGCCCTCCCGCCCCTGGAGTATCGTGATAGAGGTAAATCGCGGGATGTGCTTCAGTAGGCCAAGGAAAAAGAGTTTGCCCGTACACTGGTGCCTACAAAGAGTCCAATTTCATATATTAGAAATCGAATCCTCAAACTGCGACTACCAGCAAGACTGAGATAACTTCACTCCTGTCCTTTGCACCACTGAATTATGTTCCTAAGGGTCAAAAAAAAAAAAAAATAAAAAAAAATAAAAGAGGATGGTGTCAAACTAATTCCCTACAGATCTCACCTAAGTGGCCTCTTCCTTGCGAAAAGTCACCATTCTCCTTATTCTGTCACTTGGAAATTTCCTCAAGTTAGTATGGTTGAATTTTGTGTTAAACCAAAACGGAGGAACCGTCCAACCATCATCAACCCGCAGCCGCCCCAAATGATAACGCACTCTTCACAATCAATTTGTGCATTTAGTAGTCAATTTTGACGTGCCTTTAGTAGTCGATAAAATTGATTATATTCGCATGTAAAAGTTTTTATATTCATACAAATTAATTATGCTCACTTAAGAGATAAACTCACTTGAATAATTATGAAATAAATAAATAACATATAAAGTTGATATTTTAAAATAGTATCCCAAATCTTAGTCCTTATTTGAACCCTATTTTTCCATCAAAATGTATTATTGAACAATTATTTGATCCTATTCCGACAACATATTTTTAGTAAAATAATATTACACGTAAATTTAAAAATTTTTCTTATTTTTTATTCACACATTACCCATCATAACACTATTATTAAATCCATTTTTTTTTCATGGAGCTCTTAAAGGAACAATTCAATCTAATTAAGATTTAAGCTAGCACACAATGACCAAGATTATTATGGTCAATCAAGCCATCATCATCTTGCGTGACACATTAATGGATAAATCTCACGTTGAATAAATATGAAACAATAAGCAACACATAAAAATTTTGATCACTCTTTTTAACAAGACTGACATTTAAATATGAAATCCAATAACAAACCTTAATTTGTGTCTTCTACAGACCCAAAACAAGGTTTCTGTCGATATTGTGGCTTATGCATATTCGGGCTCACAATAACTTGATTGTTAAATCCTTGTATGGAGTAGTTTAAAAAGTTGATTATTCTGATAAAAAGCAGTCAATCCTACGGAATGAACTGTGAAAAAGTGAACAGTAATTGCAGGTTGTTTTGAACCGACTCCATTTACTTTTCTTGATTACAACCATCTTCATCTTGACTCCCTATTCCGATCGGACCAATATCCAAAACCTCCTGAGCCTCATGCCCCGGCGTTGGATAAAAGCAGCTCGTCACATTCTTATCCTTCAATGCAACGGAAACAAACACGAGTACAGAACTAACTGCATGAACTCCATCGATGAAACTTAACCTGTACTTGCTCAGATCAGGAAGCGGCCCGGCGGCTGTTGCAGCTGGGTAGTCAAACAGCCATAGCCCTTTGAAGGTGGCAAACCCGTAGTAGATTTGACCATCCGATGATTTTATGCTGTCGGTGAAACATGCGAGGAAGGAGGAGAGAGCAAGGATTACAAGGAGGACGACGGTCATATAGCGGGTGGCGGAATCGCAGACGCCGTTGTTGGTGAAGATTGGTGTGAGGATTTGGAAGGCTAAAAGGGTGCCTGTTGGGAGGAGGTTGGCGAGGTGGGCTGTGCTTTCTAAGGCTTGAGAAAGAGCGCCCTTGGAAGGCGGCGACGGCGGAGGAATTGGAGTCTCGGAGGAGGAGGTGGATGGTGGATTAGATGATGACGGTCTTTGTCTAAGAGACATTGTTGACGATTTTTTGAGTAATTACGATGAATCGGTGCTCTTTTGCTGAATTTACGTTGTTGATCTCAAGTTTTTATAGATGTTGTCGAAGATGGTGGATTTTGGGAGGTGGAGAAGTTTCTCACGGCAAAGAAATGTTAGGTGTTTGCTTGAAGTGATGGCTATGGGAAGTTTCTTGTTAGTTGTAATTTGTCAACCGTATGTAGGTGTCGAAGGAGGGAACGTGGAGGACTTTGACTTCCAAGAAATGCGCTAATAAGAAACGCGTAATGGTTTTTTATTCATGTTATCGTGTCCGGTCTACCATTCAATCGTATTTGAAAATTGCAAAATTGTATTGTTATTTCCTAGATATAGAGTACAAATGAATAAATTTATTCATTTACAACTAACTCGTTTAGCCATGTTACTCTGCGATCATATACATCATAGGTACAAGATTACATTATTAGGTAGACTAGGCCTAAGTTTAGTGGTGGTACGTATCCTTACTTTATATGATTCTGTACGCTATGTTTGACCCTCGAAATTTTGATTTTGTTAATCTAATAATGCTAGTAAGAAACTTACTAAACCATTACAAAAGGCACATCTTTGACTTGCAAAAATGGCATGCCTAGTCCAATACCGACTCTGTAAAATTTGCACAAAGACGCATTCACACACCACCTTCACCAGATTTCTCTAAATTAATCTGTACAATAGTACGTATGCTTTGGATCAACAGTGTCACCTTCATGGCATACCCTTGTGTCAAGGACCACAACTTTATTTAGCCCATTGACACTATCGCAATCGCAGTTTGCTCAATTTCGGCTGGACATTATAAATATTAGTTTAAATTTGAGTTGTAATTTTTTTTTTATTGTAATAGTTATTTCAGTTGTAAAATAGTTATGATATTAGTAAACGTTTAGTATGATTCCTCGTTTTTTAAACGTCTGCTCCTGTTACTTAGATTTTTCTTTCGAATGCTATTATAGGGGGTATTAGTCATTCAAAAATCTTTCAAGCTCACTCGTGTCCGCTCCCTGCACCAGCAATTGTAATATTCTGCTTTTGTCAATTGTAATGTTCAATTTTCATCAATCAATGTTTAATTTACTTTCAATGTATTCAAATTCTCTGTTATAAGTTTTCTACAAAATTGTAATCAAATTTTCTTTCGTTCCAACGCGATCAAGAAAAGACAGAAGGTAGTCTAGCGGAGAAGACTACTGTCGCATAGTGTCCCTTTCTGTGCCAAGAAGAAAGGCACCCCGTGAAACCTTGTCTTGTTCTTGTGTTTATGTACATTAATTGTTACGCTTCATGTAATGAGGTTTTAAGAAACGGCCACGTGCCAAGTATGTAATAAGCAAACTCGAACCTACACTCCCCATCACTGTCCTACCTAACATATTCGAGTCCATTATGTAGCCAAAGTAATGTATTCTACCAAATTCCCACATAGATGCCAAACTCTTCATGAACAAGATGAAGTGATATGATCTGTTCAGCACCAGTCCGAAGTGAATAGGCTTCAGGCACATGAAGATACCTTTCCCAGAAGATTCTCCATTCAAGATTTTCTATAATTGATTGATTAACCTTTCTGTGTAGCCACCCTATCAAGTCAACTTGTCAGTCTATGCTTCATACGCTAGACCTAGGTTATAGGCTAGCTACTTTTCAAAACCATTTAATGTTCCTGAACTTATGACTGGTTGAATGACACCTATGACAAGGTACCTAGCCGTCAAGCAAGGGCTTCAACTCTACATCACTTACATTCGCACAAGCTACCATGAGAAGTCTTCACATACCATTAGCACTGTAAGTCCACGCATTATATCTATATTCATGCTTCAATTTGGAAGACCATTGCATTACGTTATCTCCCCGCAACTAAAGAGTTATCCTAACAATACAACTTTAGTTATGATAAAATACTCCATACCAAAGCGTCACCTATCCAATTGCAGGTCACCACATAACATGTGTAACACACCTCATCCTAAAAATCCATGCATTATATGAATATTCATACCTGGACTTGAGGTACTATTGTTACGCCTCATCCAACGAAACTCCAAGAAACTACTATGTACCAATTGAATCGGCCACACTTTTCATCACTATCATATCGATCTATGTAAGGCCCTTGGTAGTCGAAGTGATGCACTCCGTTGAATCCCATGTAGAAGCTAAACCTTTAATAAATGAGGTAAGGTGATACGATCTACTACAATGCCAATTCGAAGCAAATATGTTTCAAGCACATAAGGCATCTCCTCTTGAGGATCCTCCGCACAAGATCTTCTATGATTGATTGATGTGATCTCTTTGCAACAATGATCCTATTAAGTCAACTTGTCTAATTTTAAGATTCATTTTAAGCTTAAGACTGATGGAATGATGCCTATGATAAGGCACTTCGGTACTCAAGATGAGGCAACGTATCTCTTCATCCAACGTTAACTATTCCACCTCTTTTGCTATAAAGCTCACGCTTAGTGTCATTTGAATGTAATGCAACCATTCCACCTCTTTTACTATAAAAGCTCACACTATTGTCATTTGAAGGTAATGCAATTTTACATTCCCTTAAAAATATTGCTATCTCAGTTGTTCTCTCTTACAATCCTAGTGTTTATACACTAACGTAGTTAACGTCTTCAGTCCATACACACCCATATACATCTATACATGTTGACTTCCTTGACCGTCGAAGTGCTTATGGCCGTTTCCCTTACCTCCGGAGAAGGTCACATGAGTTAAAGGTTTATCCAAGCGTGCAAGAGCTATATGCGTGGACGTAAGTGAAGCCAAGATCCGTTGGCTATGTCACCCGTGCAGATACCTAGGTTAACATTAATCATGACTAATCCACGTGAACGTATTTGATCACACTGTAGAAGATGCCTAAAAAGCCTTAGGAATCTCACCTAATGCAGATGGCTCAATGAATAAAGAAATAGAATCTTAATAGAATAGTAAAGGCCACTCTCACAAATTGATGATCTAGTGCAGCCCCCCAATTGCCCTTGAGGGATATAATCTTAGATGGGCTCATATTGGTATAGAATATATGGTTTCTGTAGGTCTTGTATAAATGAATTGAATATCACTTTTGCTATTTTTTCAAACACTGTCTTGTATACTTTTCCCCCATTTGGACCATCTCTGCCTGGTGATATAAAACTTTGAAGGACTTCCTATCGTCTTGTTTGTAGGGAGGAGAGTATATGCTTTGTTCGCTTTTTGATACTTTACTGCTGATCAAAATTGTTAGAATTAATTCTGAATTTTCAACAGACGTTATGACTTATTTTGGTTTTGTAAAAATGTATACAAATTGTAAAAGGAGCACCTTACCTGTATTTAGATGTAAACTGAGTGAAGCAGATTGCAACCTGACTTTATAACTAATATTCCTATTAGTAAAATGGTAACATTAAAACAATAGTCTAACTATTCTCTGATTTTCATGTGTTCGCTCGTTTCATACGAATCAAAGTTTAGAGTCACCAATGGAGTCAACCTTGAGGCATAACAATGCTGCAGATATCCTACAAGTGCTAGTGTGTATTGCGCTCTGGACAGTTGCAACCTTGTCAGCCCCCATAATGGCTCGCATGTGTTTCCACTTCAGGTCAACATTGTGATCTTCATCACATGATTGTAGTTGATGCTCGCCATTTTCCGTTTTATTCATCTGGTTGATTCATCATAACTGCTAAATATGCCATGTATATGCCATTTAGTGCTTCCGCTACAACTGAGTTTCTTTGTGGTCTTGAATCTTTCCAATAAATTCACACATACTTAGTTCTGAGAGATTCAGCAGCAATTGGAATAAGAACTCAAGCCATTCGGAGAGAAGTTCTTGATGGACCCCCTTGCTACGCATTCAAGATGTGGACCAAAGCTGGTTTATAATGTAGAATCAGAGTTTTGTTTTGGTGGGTCTTGGATTCTAATGTTTATTGTATTTCATTCTAATTCCTAATTGTCTGTTTTTTCCTTAGTTTAATGATTCTTTTCTATTTGTGATGTGTGGTTTCATGTAAAATAGGTGGTAGCAATACCTGACATGACAACTAAAATAAAGAACTGTAGGTTCAGCTATGTGTTTAAAATATAAAATTGTTATCATGATCTTTACACGTAATAGATGCTCTATCTCATCAAGATTAAGATCACTTGCACTGATATTGATTGTTTTACATTTATTATACCGTACCACCTCAGCCACCTACAGCTACCAGGTTATGGTTCTTAACCCTTTCCAGCATTGCCCCATTTTAATGCGTCTGTTAAGACTAAATGCACTGCAAGTTGCCTCTACCTTGTCATTAATTTCTGACCACTGTTCCGATCTTCTGCCCTTCTGGTGTGGTGGTATTATAATCTACAATATAACTGATTACTGAAAGCAATTCTTATTTAAATCTCTCCCAGATTCAGTTTGTCACCACAACAATTTTAGGCATATGTGCTCAGTGGACCTTATGAATGGGAACTCTCTCAACCAATGCCCAAGTCTAGCTCACTTTTGTCTACCATCACAACCAACATCCAGCTGTAACTTTATATGCCATCATCCCCATCCATGGAACTGCCTCGCCAATCAAGCTCATGCCAATTGACACCTTCCCTAGTGCAAGCAGGCATAAATGTCCATAATGCAGGTACGTTTTGATGTATTGGATGCTTGCGCAATAATTTTGATTTATCTGGAAGCACCATTACTGTGTCCTAAGTGAGTCTGTCCTGGTAAACTCCAAATCCAGTCATTTATGGTCAATTTTATACATGTTCTACGGAAAATTCCAGGAATTCCGAGTTAAAATTGCCTTTGCCATTGTTTCTCATTCTGCTGGATGTAGGCCTCAAGTATTTGCAATAAAACAGTAGGTTATGGCCCTAAATTTTTTAGTTTATTCTCCATTAGTGGTAAAATAAATGGATTAAGCACATGACTCTTATGGTTCGCAGGGAGTATGGTAAAAATAAAACGCAAATTAATTTTCATATCGTAGTTTCCAATTGAGCATTGCATGTCTTGTATTTTCCTGAACAGGCTTGAACTGTATGTGTTGACCTCCAAAAATAGCTCCTCCACGTGGCCAACTTATAGCTACTCCACGTATTCCTCCCTGCGAAATGAACAAACGGTCAGGTGCACACGGCCGGGATCGACGGGGGTGGTGGCGGCCGTATACACTCCGACG